AGACTACTTTTTATTCTCTGTCATGAGGAAACCTCCTGAAGTCCTCGCTGTTGCTGTGGGAGTAATGTTTCTTTTCTGCTTATGCTTTATGCTGTCAACCAATTGATACAATGTAATCCAAGTGTTTATTTGCACACACAGAGCTGTGGGCTTGGATAGTAGGACAAAAAAATGAAGAGATGATTTACTCAATCAGATTTAAAAAAATTTTTTTTTTTTTATTTTTTAAAGACATTCCAGATTATGAATGAATACTGACTAGTCAAAAGCAGAGTATGGAACTCAAGTCCTTGAGACTCTAATGCTATAAATAAATGAAGAAAAGGAAAACCAATAGAGAATGCTTTATCAGATTTTATGTCACTAGGAAAATGTTCAAATAGCTCACATTTCTTTTGCTGTGGACCTTTTTTATTATTTATTTATTAGAGACAGAATCTCACTTTGTGATTCTTGAACTCATTATGTAGCACTGGCTGGCGTTGAACTCAAATCAGTTCTCCTGGCTCACCCTCCCAAGTGCTGGATTATAGGTCTGTGCCACCATGACCAAATACTGTTGTTGTTTTGGGTTTGTTTGTTTGTTTGTTTTGGGGTTTTTTTGCAGTAGAAGGGATTAAATTTGGGCCTTGTACTTGCCAGGCAAGTGCTTATGCTGCTGAGCTATTTCCCTGCTTGGCCACCATGCCCAAATATTGTGGAATTTCTTTTTTTTAAATTTCTATTTCTTATTTTTTTGGTGTACCCAGTGATTGAACTCAGGCCCTTGTGCTTGCCAAGGAAGCACTTATTCTACTAAGCCATCTCCCCGACCCCTTTTTTTTTTAAATTAAAAAATAAAAATAATAACAAGATAGTTTGAAAAAAGTTAGTAGAATTACAATGATTAATATATTGTATATTGTCTGTAATATTCAGAGTATGAGCTAGCAGCATGATATCTTGTGCAAGGCATATCGGCATAAACCAGACTTTTTTGTCTGTGGTTTCCCTTTTTATTCACTGAGGTAACATCTCAGCCTTAGCAAGTCTTGACTCCAACTTTAATAGTTTGTCTAATCATTAGTATTTCTGACCTACTTATTCTCCATATTGCAAATGACAAGTTAATTATTCATGTCATTAGCTCATGCTTTCTGTTCTGCTGTGGTGCAGGAGCCATTGGATAGGAATTATTTCTGTTCTGCTCATTTTCATAGTTAAATGATTATTATTTTTATTTCAGCTTTTCTTTAATGAGATTTTTTCTGGTAGGTTACATGATTAAATGAATTTATTCAATGATACATTGAATTTTTACTTGATATGTTTCCAAAATGAGAGTGGAAAGACTGTATCTAGTTATGGTTAAGATTGTGCATGTAATTCTAATTTTTAACTTAAATTTCTAGGTGTTAAGATTCAGCATTTGAATTTGCTTGGTAATATGTAACACTTTATTTTCCTTTGACTAGAAACTAATCGCAGGTCCCACAAATCCATACTTGTATCATGTGTTAAGTGTGCTGTGGCAAGTATCTTGTGAGATTAAGCTTCTCTACAAGGTAAGTGCAATCCTTCTGTATTTCAAGAGAGAACTGTATTAAATTTCAGAGAGGCTAGTAAGCAGAGATTACATACTAAAGATTAATTTAAAATATTATTTTTGCAACTTTTGGCCTGGGAGATATCTTGGTTGTCTAAGCGCCTGCTTGGCAAGTGCAAGGACCCAGGTTTGATTCCCAGTACCACATGCCATATTGGCCCTGGAACCAGGCGTGGAGGTACCACATGTAATCCCAGCACTGGGGAGGCTGCGACAGGAGGAACACTACAAGTCTGAGCTCATAGTGAGACCCTGTTCCAAATAAATAAATGAAAAGATTTTTTTTTAAATTAAAATACTCGCCATGAACGGTGAGAGAAGATTGGTTCAATAAATACGGAAAGGATATAAACACAAACATATGTGAATGAATTCTAAATGAAAAACAATGCTGTGATGCTTAAGATTATATAACTTAAAAAAAAAAATTGGTGTGGGAACCTAAACTGAGGGGTGCTCTATCATTGTGCTACATCTTCTTCAATAAAAAATAAAGCACTATCAAAAGAATTAAAATATTATTTTTCCAACTTCAGCTAATAGAGCAAGTTAACTTTGTAGCATTAAGTATTTTTGTGATATTTGTTTCTCTCATTGTAACAATAAAATAATTGAAAGTAGAAAACCTGTAGGGGGTTATTGGGCAAGGTCTGGCAGTACAGTTCAGGCAGGTCCTAAACCTGCAGCAATTTTCCTGCCTCAGCTTCTCAGGTGCTTGTATTTACAGGCATGCATCACCACTCCTGACTAGGAAACTTTTTTTTTTTTTTTTTTGTGACAGGGTCTTGAGATGTAGTTCTGGCTGTCCTTGAACTCACTTTGTAGCCCAGGCTGGCCTGGAACTCATTGTGATCTCTTGCCTCAGCCTTCTCAGTGCTAGGATTGAGGTGTGTGCCATCATGCCCAGCTCTAGGAAACATTTTTTTTTTTTTAAAAAAGAGGCTGAAGCAGGAGAATCACTAAATTATCCTTAATTCTTTTTGTTTGTGTAGTGAAGATTACATTGTTTTGTAGCTCTTTGTTTTCACATAATAGCAAGTAATTATAAGCTTTTTCACTTGTCATTGAATAGTTTTTGAAAGTTTGAGGGTTTTGAGCTGGGGATTGAAAATTAGCACTTAGTTTGATACATCTCTAGTTTCCCTCTTTTTTTTCCTTGTTGAAAGAGTATAGTAATTGATAAGACATTAGAAATGGTACACATTTAGAAGACCAAGATGAGAGGAATTCAGCCACGGGTTTTGTATTACACATTGCTGTCCTCAATGTAGTTGCTTAGGTCATAGATACTATCATATAGAGTTAGTCAAGGTGAAAATTCTAAACATTAATGCTGTTTAAAAAAAAAAAAACAACAGCCTTCGGAGGATTGGCTTGAGAGGGCCACTATGCTCCTGCAGGTGCAGGCTTGGTGTCCCGCCGCCGCCGGGGCTCCGCTCATGAAGAAAACGTGATGATTCCACCAAAGGAAGCAGTGTCAACAGTGCAGGTGGAAAAAATGCAGTCGTTGCAAAGCAGGAGATTAATGCCTGTTGCCTTTAAGATACTGATAAACTGTCAGAATCAGCGCATGGGGATGAAGGTGACACCAATGATGAAGACGGTAGCCCTAAAAGAGACACTCATGCCCCATTAGAGTTAAAGGCTGAATTTCTGAGAGCCGAAATGGGCCGAGATTACCACCTGGCAAAAAAATTATGTCAGATGATCCAATCTATGAACCAGAAAATCTTGAGGCCAAGGAGTTTTCCTTACTTACTGAAGAAATATTGCTGAAGGAAGAAGCTCAGAATCCTGAGAGAAATGAGGAAGATAGTGAAGAAGACGGCAGCGTCGAGAGTGAAGAAGAAAGCAATGAGGACACGAGCGCCGAGAGTTCTGACGAACACAGAGATGGATCATGACTGTCACCGTGGTGGCTTCAGCATCGTGCGTTTTCATTCATGTATAACATACAAATGTAAAGAAGACTGTTTGCTGTGTCCTAGTTTAGCTGTGCTTTCTTTGGTACAGAGTTCATTTAAGCTTTCCATATTCTCAGTCTGAGCTCCTCCCTAATATTTAGACGTTAGCTTAATGTGAATTATTCAGAGGAAAATAAAGAAGAAAGTGTTGTCAAAAAAAACCCTGAAGGCCAGCAAGATAGCTCAACAGTCTAAATGCCTGCTTCGGCAGGCACAGGGACTGCAGTTTGGTACCTGGCACCACATGCCGCACCAGTCCCGCCCCCAGGGCACACTGAGCTGGCCACAAAAAACAAACAGACAAAAAAAAAACCAGATGGAAATTGTGAGTACAGTCATCTTAGCCATCCTTCCCTTTTCTTTGGAGACAAATTCTCACTTAGTTGTTAACTTTCCTATTCTGGGCTGAAAATTGTGATCCTCCAGCTTCAGCCTCCCTGAGTGCTGGCTGCGGTTACTGGCATGTGTCACTACACTTTTTTGGCTTTTTCTTAATAGTTCATTATAGCATTTTCCCCTGTTTAGTTAATTTCCTTAGAGAAGACCAAGTATTTTCTAATAGACATAGAATATGAATTACACATGTAACTTATTATTAGCCACTATAAAAATTAAAAAATAGAATTTCATGTTTTATTCACTCTCCTGTCAACTGTCAAGGCCAGCCTGGGCCACATATACATTCAAGGCCAGCTGGGACTGCATAGTGAGACTTCTGTCTCAAAGAACCAGTCAGGGTGCTCAGAAGCATAAACACCTACCTGGCAAGTGCAGTGTCCCAAGTTTGATCCTGGGCTCTGCATACCTTGCCAGCCAGCCCGAGAATGGGGCGTTGTGATGCTTGCCTACAGTTGCAGTACTGGGAGGTTGAGACGGAGGATCTCAAGAGTTTGAGACCAGCCTGGGGCTACAGAAGTGAGCACAAGGCCAGCCTGAACTGCATAGTGAGACCCTGTCTCAAAAAAACAAAACAAAGATCCATCAGTAAATTGTTTCAGTGTATAATCAGCATTTTTAAACTAGTTAAATAATTTAATTTTTGTGTTCATGTTAAATCTTTGAAATCTAGTATAATACAATTATAGCACTTCTCAATTCTATACAGTTTTTTTTAAATTTATTAAGCACTTTATTGATTTCTTTAAATTTATTTTTTAATTAACTTTATTGAGAAACAAATAGCAATGAGACAGTTTCAAAAGAGGTTAGTAGGACAGTTACAATAATTAATACATTGCATATTGTTGTCTTCATAGTAGTTATTCATAGTACAAGATGCAGACATGATATCCTGCCCAAACACTATTAGTACAAATCTTTCATCTCATTGACCTTTCCTTTTTGTGTTATTCTTGTTTGCTTCATTTTGGGTTTTTTTCCATAATTTTATTGAGTCTATACAGATTTCTCATATTCCATCGCCACACCTGACTGCAAGTACCATATGTTATAGCCAGATGCTAGAGCATAAAAAGGATGAGTATTCTGGTTTTTTTTTGGGGGGGGGACTGGGAACTAGGGATTGAACTCAGGCCCTTGCACTTTCCAGGCAAGTGCTTATTCTACTGACCATCTCTCTGGCCCCAGTATTATGTCTTTAATGCCATAATTATGGCACTCTCTAACTTTTGATCAGAGAATGTATCAAATAGGTTTATTTTTTATCATTTTAGTATTGGGGATTAAGCTATATTACCAGCCTTTAAAATATTTTTGAGAGCTGGGGAGATGGCTCAATAGAATAAGTGCTTCCCTGACAAGTGCAAGGGCCTGAGTTCAATCCCCAGTTCTGAAAAAAAAAAAAAAAAAAAATTGAGACAAGGTCTTACCAAGTGTTGCCCAGGCTGGGCTCAAATTTGTTATTCTGGTGTTCTTCCTCAGCTTCCCAGAGTACTGGAATTATTGGTGTGGGGTTACAGGTGTGCCACCACATCCAGATTTCAGTTAGTTGGCTTTATAGTGCAGGCAGGGCTTGAACTCGTGGCAATTCTGCCTCAGCCTCCTGACTACAGGCGTGCCCCGTTGCACCTGGCTAAATATGATATTTTTTAGGTCAGTAGTAATGTGGGCATTTTGATCATGGAGAGCTAAAAGACATTTTTTATTTATTTTTTTTTTCAAAGGCACCTTCTTCATTATTTGATATGTACAACAAGAATGGACAACTAGTTCGTAAGGTAAAAATAAATGTTTTTCCCTTTTCTCTTCTTTGACATTTAAAATTTAACATTTTAAATTTTCTTTAGTGTATTTTGTGTTCACTAAAGTGTCCTTTAACAGCTTTTTTTTTTTTTTTAATTTGTGTATTTAGTGCAGAGTCTTACCACAGCTTGGACTTGTAGTGATCCTCCTGTTTTCAGCCTCTGCAGTGCTGGGATTACAGGGTTGCGCCACCACAGCTGGTCTTCGTGGCCTCCTCAGCACAGCTGGGGGTGGGGCCAGCATGGCTTGTGGTGCTGGGGATCGAACCTTGGTCCTTGTGTTTACCTAAGCAGGTGCTTAGTCCACTGGGCAATCTCCCCGGTCCTTTTGATTGCTTACTGATGCTGGCCAAAGATGTTGACTTTAGGTCAGACAGTGGGCATTGTTTACACCACCAGCCCACAGAATGATGTGGTTGGTTCAGGTGGATGTTGTGCAAAGACAGTGGATTTGCCTTGCAGCTGACGAACACAGCTGGAGAATTCACTTTCAATGAGAAAGTGTGCTCTTTCATCTTGCAGAGAATCATTATCTCATTCCTGCCAAGAAAACACACTCAGGGACCAGCGCAGTTGCATCTTTGAAACTTTGTAGCTGAAAGAATAAAGAAATAGTATTTGTGGGGCTGGGGAGATGGCTCAGTGGAATAAGCGCTTCCCTGGCAAGCGCAAGGGCCTGAGTTCAGTCCCCGGTTCCGCCAAAAAAAAACAAACAAGAAATAGTATTTGCTTTGGTAATGTTTTATGACTGACAGTATTTTCCCTTTTTCCCAGGCTTCAGTAATACATCAAAACCTGTGTTTTATTCAAATGACTCCTCGTAAAGATTTATTTACAAAATACTTAACTCCTCTTAACTATGATATATTTTTTCACATGGTAAAGCAGTGTTTTGGGAGGCGCAGCGCCCTGCTAATACAACATTTACAGTAAGTAAAATATAAAAATAAACATAAAAGTAACAATTTAATGTGCCAGTCTTCGTTAAAAATCTACTTTTCTTATTTTGACTAAGTATAATGCACTCATATTTCAATTAAATATTTAGTATTTCTTCTCCCTAGTGTACATTTTGAAAAAAAAAAAAGTTCTACATACTCTGTCACTGAGCTTTACTTAGTTTCCTTTGAAAAAGTAATCAGAGATTTCCATGTGTTCATTTATCTTTATCCAAGATTAGGCTGTAGGAACCTCTACTCCTTGCCACTAGCAGGCTTCAGGAAGGGCACAATTACTCTGGCATATTTGCCATCTACCCCTTGTTATTGTCTGTATCAGTGTTTGTTTCCTAACCACAGAAGGGATGGATCATCATACAATCCTGGTTTTCTTGCCCTGGATAAATTTTTATGTTCCCATCTAAAACTCATAAAATTGTACCTGTGCCAGGCATAGTAATGCACGCCTATAATCCCAGCACTCAGGAAGTTGGGACAGGAGGACTTGCATAAGATACAAACAAAAACTCAGAGCTGCTACTATGTTGTATAATTTTTGTATAGGGGTGATATGTAAACTTATGTACAATCAACAGCCTATAGTTATTCAGAGTAAAGAATTAATTTGGTCATCATTTAATATATTGAATGAAATGTTGACTGGACAATATTTTTGGTCTTTTTTTGGGGGGGGGTTGGAGAACTGGAGGTTGAATTCAAGCCCTTGTGCTTGCCAGGAAAGCGCATATTCTACTGAGCTATCTCCCCAGCGGGACATTACTTTTTTTTTTCAGACATGATCCTATTTACAAACACTATTACAACAAATCTCTCTATTCATTGAGAATGTAACTATATTAATCTATCCTAACTATTTTTATCCCATAATTTTATTGATAAATAGCAATAAGACAGTTTCAAATCAAATTGGTAGGACAGTTTCAATAATTAACACATTGCATACATTCTTCCTAGAGGTTAATTGCTGTACAAGATGCGGACTTGAGATCCTATTTACAAACACCATTAGAACAAATCATTCTATTCATTAAGAGAATGTAGCTATATATCCTAACCACTTTGAATACACAGATACAAAATGGACATTCATCTGTATCCCCATTTCTGGTTAATTTCCATTATTTGAATATTATAGAAGTGTAAACTCAGCAAAATATTCTAAAAGAGTCCAGTAGCCCATAATAGTATTGGGTCTTCCGCTTGACTGGCAGTGTCACAAATTGTTAACCTGAGTCCCCTATAGCTCAACATAACGTTTTTGTACTTTTCTGCTGGATAGTTAAGACCAAGGTAAAGCAGGACCTATGCAACAAGAGTTGTAGCTTTTGGGTCTGATAAGGTCAGTGAAATCCCTTCAGGATTTATTCTGAGATCCTGTACCTCAGATTGTAGATCCTTTGTCAGTGTCAGCCATGTGGATGAGTCACGGCCATTGCTTGGCCAATGTGCTCTCTGTGAAAGCCTGAGAGAATGTTTTCTCTCCATGTGACTCTCCTTAGGCACACTCTATATCAGGATCACTTTCCTCTTTGGCCCCATATTCTCCTTGATCAGAAAATTTGGGACACTACCAAGTTACGTGACATTACAGTACAAGTTCTCATATGTCCTGAGTCTTAATTGACCTTAGAAGGCTAGGGCCAGAATGTTGGCTTTCCTTGCAGCCCTCCTTTTTCTCTAATTTTGGTCTGCAAACTTAGGTTATTAACCATCCAGAAGACAAGCTTATTGTTACTACAGGACAATATTTTTATTAAAAAATCCATGTTAAAAATGTCAGTAGGGCCAGCCAAATAACTCAGTGTATTAAAGCGCCTGCAAATAGGTGCAGGGGCCGAGAATTTGATTCCTGGGCCCGGTATGCTGGCCCCGTCCCTGGGGCACGCTGACATGGCAATTGAGACTGGCAATTACAAGCATGATGGCGTTCTATAATCCCAGCTCTTTGGAGGCTATAAACATGCGAATCTTTACAAACCCAATCTATTAATGAGACCATGAACACCCTGTAGATCCTTCCCTAAAATACGAACAAAAAGTCAGTAGACCAATAAAAGTTACCTATTTTCATTTTGTCACTTTGTGGCAGTGGTAGTATTCTAATATATATGTCAAGAAAGTAAGGAATAAATATGGAAAACTCTGGCACAGAATGTTAAAAATGCCCTTGGAAATCTCTAATGTGACTAAAATTATATCTGAAAATACTGGAAATATTTTCTCACAAACTGTTGCACTACAGGTGTTTACTTACTGTCAGAGGTTTATTAATTTTTTTTGGCTAATATGTAAAAAGTTTTGTTTTCCTAATTTAATTACCAGTGATTGTTACATAAAAATGTGAAAAATGATTCCCTCCTTAAAAACTCCCAGACAAGCTGGGTGCTATGGCATATACCTGTAATCCAGTTACTCAGAAGGCAGAGGAAAGACAGTTGCAAGTTGGAGGCCAGCGTGAGCAATTTAGCAAGACCTAGTCTTAAAAGTAGTGGGCGGGAGCAGTAGCTCTGGGTAGAAGACTGGCCTAGTACACAAAAGCTCTGGGTTTAGTACTTAATATCAGAAAAAGAAGACCTAAATAGCCAGCTCCTGTTGGTCGTGACTGAACTTTTACATGAACGTTGGTGGAATTAAGAATATTTTTATAGGACTATTTTGTAGGGTGTGGTTCAACAGTAGAGCATGTGCTTAACATTCATGAAACCTGGTTTCAGGACCACCATCACCCCACACAAACTATAGGAAGCAAAATGAAGAAAAAAGTTGAAAGATAGGGTTTTTTTTAGCAGTCCTGAGGAACAAATCTATGACCTTTTTACATTAGGTGACGGCCTTGCCTTAGAGGCTGAGACAGGAGGCTGTGTTCAGGCCAGCCTGAAATACAAAGCAAGACTCTGCCTCAAAAAATTAAATAAATAAATAAATAAACAACTTAAATATTGTGTAAGAATTAATTAGAATGCCTTAAAGCCTAGGGCCAGCCAGATAGCTCAGCAGATTAAAGTGCCTATTTAGGCAGACACAGGCCAGGGATTCCCTGCCAGCCGCGCCTCCGGGGCACTCTGAGATGGTGAATGAGACCTGAGGTGGCGCAGGAAGGGATCACTACAAGTCCGATCTGTGTAGTGGGACCCTGTAGACCCTGTACTAAATGCATGGGGGGGGGGGGAAGGAATGCCTTAAAGTCTAAATCTCATTAGTTCCATTAAAAGTTAGCTGTGGACCTTTAGGAATCTGGGTTTTTTTGTTTGGTTGGTTGGTTTTCTATGTATTTAGCACAGGGTCTCACTACACAGATCAATCATACTTGTACTGATCCTCATGTTTTCAGCCTCCCAAGTATGCTACCATGCCCAGTCTCATTCACCTTCACTATGTCAGCATGCCCCAGGGGCAGGGCCGGCAGGGCATGCCGGGGATCGAACCTGGCCCTTGTGCTCTGCCTAAGCAGGCACTTTAGTCTGCTGAGCTATCTGGCTAGCCCTTAGGAATCAATGTATTTATTACAGTTTAACTCTGAAATAAGCTCAATTGTGTATGAGTTAGTCATTTTAATTTGGACTTAGCAGCTATCCCTTTCAATATTAGTTTATAGTTACTATGAAAAAAAATTAAGCACATTTACTTTGTATTTCTTTTGCAGTTCGTTGACTCCATATGATCCACTAACTATAATGAATAAAGCAGAAATTAAAAGTGAAGTGAAGCCATCTGATATCTACCCTCAGGACTTTAAGCACCTTTTTGAAACTATAGAATGTTCTAGTGATGATGACAGTAAATGGCTATATGATAGAGTCATAGAAGATTTACATTGTTAGGGCAATAGCCCATCAAGGGCATTAGCTGAACAGTTTATTTGGAAAACACAACAGATGAAAAAATGAGTTGAAAAGCAGACATTCTTTCAACAAAAGATATAACTGTTCTTGTTCAGACCAGGAAACTCATTTCTGAAGTTGATACCATTGACACATTGACTACAACAGTGACTGCTGTTTTATTCACAACTGAATAAAAGGAAAACTTCAATTAATTATGCAATGATCAGTTGCAATACTGTCTACTATTAACTTTCTTTATGGTATTACCAATTGAAATTGGGTTTTCTTGTGAAAATTGTCCCGGCCAAAGGACTTATGTATTTAATTTAAGTAGTTCTCTTTCACCCTTGCTGAATTTCACATTCCTGAGGGGCAGAAGAATTTGTATAGTATTAAAGTTAGAAAGTAAATTAAACTTAAGTGGTTTATTTTACTTTTCTGTTTGCTGAAATTATTATCAATTACTGTACAATAAAATCTAAATTTTAATAACCTTTTAGAAATAAAAATATTTTAGGTAATATCTTGTGATAATTTTCTTTTGTCTCTTGATATTTTAGTGAAATATTTAATTGACCCGAACATGCCATTAGCTGTGTATTGTATATTCAGTGTACATTCAGTGTATAATTCAATCTATGTACTTTAAAATTTTCTGCACATTTGTTCCATTAAGAAAGTTTAGCTAGGGCTGGCGAGATAGCTCAGTGGACTGAAGTGCCTGCTTTGGTAAGTTCAGGGACCAGGGTTCGATCCCGGGTGCCCCACCCCTGGGTCACTGAGCTGACCGCTGAGTCTGGACATGGTGGCGCAAGCCTGGAATCCCAGTGGTGGGGAGGCTGAAAATAGGATCACTACGAGTCCAAGCTGCATAGTGACACCCTGTACCAAATACATAAATAGAAAAAAAAAAGCTTAGCTAAAGTGGCTGGGGGTGGTGGCACATGCATGTGTGCAATCCCAACACCTGATAGAAAATATTCTTAGTTACATTTAGGCTCATGTAAAGTCTGACTGAATTTCTTTTGGGGGGTGGAGGTAAGGAGTTGAGACAGGGTCTCTGTAGTTCAAGCTAGTCTTGAACTCACTACATAGCCCAGGTTCACCTTAAATTTGCAGCAATCCTCCTGTCTCAGCTTTCTGAGACCTGGGATTACAGGCAGGCACTACCATGCCCAGTTTTTATCTTCCTAGTCTTTCTAAAGTCTACTTTCTTCTCAGTTTCTTCCCAACCTTGTGCCTTATGTGTGGATTTCTCAAGCATTTTCACTTCATCATACAGTCCATTTTATCACAGCTGTATTAAGTCTGAAGCATGTTTTTATTGTAGACCAGATCAAAAACAGAGGTTCAGGAAGCCATTGTTTTCAAGTGGGTAATAATAGCCTTTAGGTCATAATGTTACTTATCTGAAGGAGTAAGTGGTTGGGGAGGGGGGACTCAGGAGCTGGAAACATTGGAATAGTGTTTTTCTTCCCTTATCCTTTCCATAGTGGTAGCCAGAGGCCTCCTGTGCTAGCTTCATTTTACAAACAACAAACTAGAATATAACTTAAAAAAAAAAAAGACCTGATGGTATGTCTCATTGGTAGAGTGCCTACCTAGCATGCATGAAGCCCTGAGTTGGGTCTCAAACACTGCGAATAACGCTAATGAGACTCTAGAAAAAGCTAAGATAGACTGCCCAAGTTCAAGGTCCTAGGTTCAGTCTCTACCATTGTAAAACATTAGAAGCTTCCACTAAAAAATGAAACAATGTATATGGTTATTCGTGCGCCAATTAACTGCCCCAAGAAAGCTTACCTTTTTTTTTAATCCATATTAAAACCCAGAGAAAATATCCAAAGCCTCTGGAGAGGTTAACTAAGAGAAGCAAACCTTTCCAGTCTTTACAGCCCTAAAAAGGTCAGGTCAGCCTCAGGGAGGCAGTGACACTGCCAGTGTGACACTGGGTGTGTGGGGTTTCTTTGTGAAGAGAGGAGAATGCAAGGTGGGAGGTCAGTTCCTCTTCCTTAGCTTAGTTAAGATGAGACAGGTAATTTATTAGGCTACTGCTCCTGGAGCACACCTGTAGTCCCTGCTACACTGTCAGCCTGGGCAACGTAGACCCTGTTCCAACTTGAACAAGGTGGGAATATGGCTCAGAACTGCTTGGGGTTCAGTATCCTAGTACTACCCTCCACCAAGTTACTGGTTTATTAGGATGGAGTCATCTGAGCAAAATGATAAGCAGCTATTTCAGAGGAATTAACTGATGGTTTTAGGAAAAGGGGGTCATAAAATTAGAGGAGCACTTGCTGTTAGCTTAGGGTTAACAGGGTTAACCTAATAGGATTATCTTTGGGTTAGGTCAGTGGTGGCAAGTCTGTACAGTCTTACTATATAGCTAAGGCTGGCTTTGAATTCACAGCCATCTTGCCTCAGCCTCCAGAGTTCTGGAAAGGCATGTGCCACTACACCAAACAATCCTTTTTATTTTCTAAAAAATGTATTTGGTACAGTGTCTCACTATGCAGCTCAGACTCAGTGGTCCTGTCTCAGCTCCCCCAGCTCTGGGATTACAGGCATGCACCACCATGTCGGGTTCCATGGGTTGAACCCAGGTCCTTGCACTTACCAGGCGGGCACTTAGACCACCAAGTTATCTCCCTAGCCCTATCTTCTTTTTATACTTAATTTTCGAGTTGCAGAGCTCAGGCCTTCCCTTACTGATGCATGCACACAGGCAAACAACACTAGCATCATCGTCATAGGTAAATAATTTAGCAAGGCGGGGATGGGGACCCAGCTATTTGCTCACTTTTCAGATCTCTGCATCCTAATTATGTGCAACCAGGTGTGATGGCACATGCTTGCAGTCCTACCACTCAGAAGGCTGAGGCAGGAGGACCACTGAGTTTGAGACCAGCCTGGGCTATAAACTGAGTTAAAGACCAGCCTGAACTACATAGCAAAACCCTATTTGAGAAAGATCTAAATAAATAAATAACCATTAAAAAGAAAAACTATGCAAAACATTAAGAGTGCAGGGAAAAGAACAACAATAACAAAATAAGTGCAGGAGCTAGAAGCTTGCATGCTGAAGCTGTCTGTGGCAGGTATTGGTGGAAAATCATGCCCATAGCTTGCTTCTGAGGTCAAATGTCTTGGGCCTTGTTGCCCAAAATGGATGCAAATAGACATCTCTTACTGCTGCAGCATCTTGGGTACTGGCTTTTTTTGGTCAACACAGATGAACTCTTGTGGCATCAGCTGCTAGATGAACATTCTGTTTCTCCTGGACCTGGTAAAAGAACTAACTTATGGTTTGTGTCTAGATGTCCCCCCAAAGCCTCATGCAGTCATTGGGGCAGGCTTCTATAGTTCATGATTAATTCATGACCCAATACTGGGATTATGGGTGTGAATGCTGCTGGGATTAAGTGTGTGAGTGCTACACCCATGTATAGCCTGAAAGCAGAGAGCTTGCTTTGTGCCTTTGCTGCTGCAGCTGCTGCTCCTCCCTTTGCTCTTTGCTGTTTTCTGCCACCATGAACTGCTGCCCTCTGCCATGTACCATCCTGCCTTGGAGCCAGCTGAGTATGGACAGAAACCTCCATAAACTGTGAGCTAAATAAATCTTTCCTGCTTTAATTCTGGGTGTAGGGCATTTTGTCCCAGCAACAAGAGAAAAGTAACTGAGACAAACTGGATCCTATGTCCAAGCATCTTTGGTCTACACTGAGAAACCCTGTCTTAGTTACTGTTTACTTGCTGCTGGGACAAATACCCAACACTCCAAATGAAGGAAGGAAAGGTTTATTTAGTGCACAGTTACTGGAGGGTTCAGTCCATATTCTGCTGGCTCCAGGGCAAATGACAGCTGTTCAAGCAGCAGAAAACATGAAGAGCAGAGGAGGAGCAGCAGCTGCGGCATCCATCAAGCCTCTCTCTCCGTTCTACACTGACTGCAAAGACTGGTGCTCCATGGCGAAGATCGTAGCTCCTCTGCAGTGGCGGGGCTGCAAAGATCAAGCTCCTCCAAAGACGGGGACTTTTCCATGAACTGGGCAGGGCTGGGCCCCCACGCCTGGAATTGCCGGAGCTGATTCAGCCAAGTTGACACAATTTGTCAGCTAACACATGCCCTGATAGTGATTAGGAGAAGAGAATCAAGAAGAATGAAGAGGGCTGGCCAAATAGCTCAGAGGATTGAAGGCCTGCAAGCAGGCTCAATGGCCTGGGGTTCAATCCCTGGGCCTGCCATGCCCCTGGGGTGCGCTGAGATAGCAATTGAGACTGGGCATGGTGGTTCGCACCTATGATCCCTGCTCTTGTGAGGCTGTAAGCAGGTGGATCACTGCGAGTGATCTAGTGGTGAGACCCTGAACACCCTGTAGGCCCTTCCCTAAATATACAAAAAAAAAAAAAAAATGAAGAGAGGCTTCACCACGTGCCATCTGTAAACCACATCTGGACTCTGATCTGAATCAAATACAATAAACACAAACATTTATGAGACTTAAAACATTTTTTGTTTTCATTTTTTCACTGCAGAGGATCAAACCCAGTGTTTCTACATGTTTCTAGGTAAGCTCTCTTCTAAGCCTAGAGGAACTTTATTTGTTTATTTGGCACAGGGTCTTGCAACACAGCTTGGACTCTGGTAGTGATCCTTCTGTCTCAGCCTCCCCAGCATTAGGATAACAGGTGTGCACCACCATGCCTGATGTGCGGCATGTAGGACCGGGGATTGAACTCAGGACCTTGTGCTTGCTAGGCAGATGCCTAGACCACCGAGCTGTCTCCCCTGCCCAAGGAACTTTTTGTTGAGACAGACTTTCACTGTGTATTTCAGGCTGCTCTTAAAATTGAGATTATCCTGCTTTGACCTCCCCCTCCTCCCTGATATTTTTTCCTCAACATTTATTTATTTTGGTGCTGCTGCAAATCAAACTCAGCTCTTTTGGTTTTTCTGTTTGAGTCAAAGTCTCACTATGCCCCACCCTTTATGTGGTGCCAGCCCCATCCCCAGGACTTGCCTGGCAACCAAATACAGGTATGGTGGTGCATGCTTGTAATCCCAGCGTTGGGGAGGCTGAAAACAGGAGCATCACTAAGAGTCTGAGCTGCATAGTGAGACCCTGTACCAAATATATAAATGGAAAAAAAAAAAAAAAAAGTCTCGCCAGGTCGCTGAGCTGCCTAGGGTTACTGAACTGCTTATAGATGGTTAGTCAGAATGTTTTCAATTTTTAAAAAATTTTATTTTATGTATTTGGCACAGAGTCTCACTACACAGCTTGGACTCATAGTGATCCACCCATTTCAGGCTTCCCAGCACTAGGATTATAGGTGTGCACCACCTGTAATCCCTGGTCTTGGTGGCTGACTTGGTGAGCCCGGGGCAGGCCCAGCACAGCATGTGGTGCCAGGGATCCAACCCTGGTCCTTGCGCTTGCCAGGCAGGTGCTTAGACC